AGTTCATGCACGCATTTCCAACATTTTTTAAAAGAGCAGACCTGGAATTTCTTACTGCCTGAAGCAGGAAGCAGACTCCAGCCTAGGACCATGCGAGAGATGCCAGTGGTTTGAAAACACAGACGAGGGAAAACAAGAGGCAGGCTTCTTCTGGATCAGGTGAGTAGTAAAGTTAGAAACTGGGAACCAGGTAGGCAGGTCAGCGGACCTTGAGAAAGGCCCAACATTTTTGGGCAACGAGGGGTCCAGGCCAACCCCTCTAGTTCTGGATTAATAGCAAGCTCCTGGACAGGGAATACTCTGTAAAAACCCAGAAACTAAGGTCCATTTCAGGTAGGAATCTTTTTGTAGGTTGCTTTCTCACTGGGCACTTGCCTTTGGGGTCTGATTTACCCTTTTTGTTGTGATAACATATCTACAGATCAGGTTATTAATTCCTTGACATTGAAATCACCCAGGGTCTTGGTCAGACCATTTACTTTACACTGCTTGCGCTATAATATTCTCTTCATAGCTTGTCATGTGCCTGGAACTATTAATGATATCACTGATTCTCTTTCCCATGCACAGATGGGTGCTTTCAACTTCTGGCTCCAGAAGCTGTGGAGGTACCGGATCCAGTGCCAGCAGACATTTGGCATCATGAAATAATGAGGGCAATTGGCATGTCCCTTGCAATGAGTACAAAGAAAACATGTGTTAAGGCTGTGGAAGAGTTTTGGTTGTTTCGCAAATGTGAACAATTGAGTGATATGTTGCTTTGTGCAGCTCTTCATTTTAAAGGCCTCCAGCCTCAGTCCATTAAGGTTAAGTTATCTGCCTTGGCATTTTGGTTGAAAGCTCAAGGCCTCATTGATTCTACCAGTGATTTCCACACCCATTAAACATTAGAAGGATGGGCTAGAGAAAGCCATACACGATCAATTCATGCAGGCCCGTCTCCCCAAATTCTCAAGCAAAGCAGCTTCATTTATATACCGCTTCATATCACACTATGGGATGTCTCAGCGGTTTACAACTGTAAGCTCATTGCCCCCCAACAGTTGGGTACTCATTTTAGCAACCTCAGAAAATGAGGCCTGAGTCTATCCTGAGTCTAGCCTGAGCCCTGGCTAGTATTGAACTTGCAACCTTGTGGTCTATGAGTGAGTGGCTGCAGTACAGGCATTTAACCACTGCGCCACCAGGGCTCTAGGTTTTGTTTGGCCTTCACTCTGTAACTCCCCTTTGGATGCTCTGCTGTTTCATGCAGCAGCTTTAACAACATTTTTTGCAGCCCTTCAGGTTTCTGAGTTGGTGGTGTCCTCTAAGAATGATAAATCCAACAGGACCCTATGCTTTAATGACCTAATTTTTATTAGGAGTATTGTAATTACCATTCTTTTTTTTTGTGGGTGTTTTTGGGCTGTGTGACCATGTTCTAGAAGAGTTTCTTTCTGACGTTTCGCCAGCATCTGTGGCTAGCATCTTCAGAGAAAACAGAGAAAGCTTTTCTCTGAGGATGCCAGCCACAGATGCTGGCGAAACGTCAGAAAGAAACTCTTCTAGAACATGGCCACACAGCCCAAAAAACTCACAAAAAACTATGGATGCCGGCCATGAAAGCCTACGACTCCTACCAATAATATTTTCTTACTTTTCCAAATAATTTCCACCCCTAACCAATGACTTTTCTTGTCCTTAAAAATTTCATGTGACTTTATTTGGTTACTTACATATATTATCACTCTTTTCTTTCTTTTATCTGTTGTGGCTATGTACTCCATGCCTAGCTTCTTATTTATAATAAACCTTACATCTTTAGATTTATACAGGATTCCTGTAGACACACAACCTCACATTTCTTTTT